CCCCTTAGTTTGCATTGCAATACTTCTTGATGACCACAAATAAATTCAGAGGGATTATTCTCAGTGGAGACCTGGTGACACAGTGGTTAAGAGCTTGCCTGCTAACCAAAAGATCGGCAGTTCGAATCCACCAGCTGCTCTTTGGAAATCCTATGGGGCAGTTCTACTCTGTCCTATGGGGTCGCTCTGAGTCGGAATTGACTGGACAGCAAAGGAATTTGTTTTGTTTTTGGTATTCTCAGTAGCAACACATCCATTCTCTCTCAAATTATCAGTATCCGATTTTCAGTTGTGAGTTGCTGATCTTTCATGCCACTTATTTTCAGTCAAAGTAATATTGTCAAGGGATTTAAATGCAGTAGTCAGAGGCTATATTCTGTTATTCAGAATGAAAAGTCCTAAAGGGCTGTAATGCAGTATTCTTGTTAACTGACAGTGGTCACATAAGGTACATACAGGTGACTAAATTTAAAAGAGAGAGAAAGTAATGAAATGTATTGAATTTTTTTTTTTTAATGGTTCAAAAGGTATTTCAAATTCTTTCTTTGACTCAGAACAAGACATCACTTTTCAGGGGGTTACTTCTCATTTGTCCCTTACTGAGAAAAAGCAAAGTATGCATAAAATATCCAGTGGCCTTCCGGAATGTTTTGATTTGTAAACTGTGGGAATCTACAGTATTTTGCTAGAAAATAAGGAGACTGTTGCTATGAAACATATTATTAGGTCATTTCTAATACAAACTTTCTGGTTGTTCTTGACCTTCGCAGATACACCGAGGAGTGAAAGGGTTTATCCGGGACCTTCGAGGAAACCCAATTGCCAATGCAACCATCTCTGTGGAAGGAATAGACCATGATGTTACATCTGGTGGGTGTTCTTTGCCAGGGTCTGAAGGTTCTAGCGTTACACACAAGAGCATAATTACTTATTATCATAATTATAACCATTACAATAATCTAAGCAAAGCCATTGAATGCCTTATATCTTTTTTCACGTCGCTTCCCCAGCTTTGATCTAGTTTTATGTGTGGGAGCCGGTCAGGTGGAGTTAAACTCAGGATTGCTGCTGTGTTTGGAAATTGAGGTACAGCAGATGGCACCCTTTCCTTAGGGATCTCACTCCAGA